TTTGGTAAGTTCTCTGTTATTATCTCTTTAAATAAATTTTCTACCCATCTCTCTTTCTCCACATCCTCTTTTAAGCCAATAGCTTTTAGAATTGCCCTTTTGAAGCTATTTTTTAGATCCTGTAGGCATGCTTCATTGTTTTTTACTAGGGTTTTTTTTGTTTTGTTTTGTTTTTGTTTTTGTCTTCTCAGACTGTGTATTTTCAAATAGTCTGTCTTCAAGCTTACTAAGTCTTTCCTCTGCTTGATGAATTCTAATATTTAAGGACTCTAATGCATTCCTCAGTATGTCAATTGCATTTTTCAGCTACAGAATTTTCGCTTGATGTTTTTAAATTATTTTAATCTCTTTGTTAAATTTATCTGATAGAATTCTGAATTCTTTCTCTCTGTTACTTGAATTTCTTTGAACTTCCTCAACACAGCTATTTTGAATTTTCTGTCTCAGAGGTCACATATCTCTGTTTCTCCAGGATTGGTTCCTGGTGGCTTATTTGTTCATTTGTTGAGGTCATGTTTTCCTGGATAATGTTGATGCTAGTACATGTTCTTCAGTGTCTGGAAATTGAAGAATTAGGTATTTATTGTAGTTTTCACTGTCAGGGCTTGTTCATAGCCGTCCTTCTTCACAAGGCTTTCTAGATATTGAAAAGGACTTGGGTGTTGTAATCTAAGCTGTGTCTGCTTGAGGGGGCACCCCATACCCAGTAGACTGTGGTTTTTGCAGACTCATAGAGGTACCTCCTTGGTGGTCTTGGACAATATCCAGGAGTATTCTATCATATTCATCTGTATGTTTATTCTTATGACATTACCACACTATTTTGATAATTATAGCTTTGTAGTAAGTTTTGAGATGGGAAAATGTGAGTATTGCAACTTTGTTTTTCCTTTTCAATATTATTTTGGCTACTTAAGTCGCCTTGCAATTCCACGTGAATTTTAGGATTAGCTTGTCTTCTGTAAAAGACAGTTGAAGTTTTGATAGGGATTGTATTGAATCTGTACATCAATTTGGGGAGTATTGCCATTTTAATAATAGTAAGTTTTCAGATTCATAAACACATGATGCCTTTCCATTTACATAGGTCTTAAATTTCTTTCAGCAATGTTTTCTAGTTTTCAGCATATGAGTCTGGCACTTCTTTGAATCAGTTTATTCCTACATATTTTATCATTTGCAATGCTATTTAAATAGAATTATTTTCTTTTCTATTTTTGGATTGTCCATTGCAAGAACATAGGAATGAATACAACTAACGTTTTTGTGTTGATCATGTATCCTGTGACTTTGTTAAACTAATTTATTAGCTCTAATTGTATTTTGTCAATTCTTTAAGATTTTTATATAAGGTAATTTCATTTATAAATAGAGATAGTTTTACTTCTTCCTTTCTAATCTGGATCCCTTTTATCTCATTTTGTTGCCTAATTTCTCTGGCTTGAAATTTCAGTACAATATCCAACTGAAGTGGCAAGAACAGACATACTTGTTTTATTTCTAATCTTATTAGGAAAGTTTTCAGGCTTTCAGCACTGAGTATGATGTTAACTATGGGTTTTTCAAATACCATTCATCAGGTTGAAGATGTTTCCTTCTATTCCTAGTTTGTTTAATGTTTTTGTAATGAAATGGTGTTGGATTTTTGTCAGATGCTTTTTCGTTCATTAATTGAGATGATCCTGCTGTCTTCTTCCCTCTTCTTCTATTAATATGATGTATTACTTTTATTGATTTTTTTATGTTGAACTACTTTTTCATTCCTGTGATGAATCATACTTGGCCATGGTATACAATCACTTGAATATACTGCTGGATTCAGTTTGGTAGTATTTCTAATTTTATTTCATGTGATCAGAAAAGATATTTTGTATGACTTCAAACTTTTAACATTTATTGAGACTTGTTGTGTGGCGTAACACATGGTCTGTCTTGGAGAATGTTTCATGTACACTTGAAAATAATGTGTTTTCTGTTGTTTTGGGAGTGGGACATTTTATAGATGTTTGTCAAGTGTGTTTGGTTAATAGTGTTGCTCTATTATTCTATTTCCTTATTAATCTTTTCTATAGTCCCTTAGTCAATTTGGTGACTATAATGGAATATATACCATAGGCTGGATAATTTATAAAGAACAAAGATTTATATCTTACAGTTCTGGAGGCTGGGAAGGCCAAAATTGAGAGGCCAGAAGCATCTGGTAAGGGACCTCATGTTGCATTGACCCATGATGGAAGATAGAAGGATAAGAGAGTACATGAGAGAACAAGAGAGGGCCAAATTTACTTGTATAACAAGGCTTCTCAATAACTAGCCCACTTCCCATGAAGTCTCTGCATTAGGTCTCCATTATTACCTAATTACCTCTTATTAGGTCCCACTTCTCAACACTGTTGCACTGAGGATTAATTTTCCAATGTACGTACTTTAGGGGACAGATTCAAACCATAGCAGTAGTTGTTTTATCATTACTGAAAGATAGAATTTTCAACTATTGTTGAATTGTCCATTTTTCCCTTCAATAATTCTGTCAGTTTTTACCTCATATATTTTGGGACTGTGTTGTTAGGTGAATATATTTATAATTGTTGTATCTTCTTGATTGATTGATTGTTTTCAGGACCTTTATCTCTAATCACAATTGCTGTCTTAAAGTCCATTTTTTTTAATGTTAGTATAGCCACTACAGCTTTCTTTTCCTTAGAGTATGCATGAAATATATTTTTTCCATTATTTTATTTTCAACCTATCTGTGTTTTTAAATCTAAAGTATGTCTCTTGTAGACAATATGTTTTGGAGTCTTTTTTTAAATTCATTCTGCCTTTTAACTGATAAGTTTAATCAATTTCCATTTAACGTAATTAAGATGAGGAAGGGCGTACTTTTGACATTTTCTATTTGTTTTTCCATGTTGTTTTTCATTTCTCTCATTATTGCCTCCTTTGGTATGAGGTAAGATTTTTTTAAGTGTGCCATTTTGGTTCACTTTTTATTTATTTTATTTTTTAGTTATTTTCTTAGTGGTTGTCCTATGATTACAATTAACATCTTAATTCATCATTAATTAATTTTTTTCTTCCTGTAAGTGGAGTATGCTTTCTTTGTTTGCGTGTCTCATATTTTTGATTGAAACTTGGATATGTTGAATATTGTAATATGGCACCTCTGGAAATCAGATTCTCCTGTCTTCTCAGAATTTGTTGTTTCTGCTTGTTGTAGGTTGTATTTGTGTGTTGCTGACTTTTCTAAACTATTATTTAAAGACTGTATGCTTTGTCACGTGTGGTTACTGAAATCTCTAAAGTCACTGAAGTCTTACAACTTTTGTGGAAAGATGGACTTTTAGAGTTCCCTACCCTACCACTTTTGCTAATGTTATTCCCATAATTACTATGAAATTTTATATTTTCATTATCCTTGAACATTTCATAAATATTTTTATGTATTCTGTATCTAAGAGTTCTAATATATAATATGTTTGCCTTTTAAATCTGTTGTTTGTTCTGCTAACTCTTGTTTGGAGTGGCATGTTTTCTTGCATGTTTTTCTTTTAATTGTAAACTTATATTTGGCTGAAACTAACTTGTGAGAATTCTAAGGACTCAGTGTTGATGATGCCTTTCTCTTCATGAGTATTTTCTAGTAGCTTGCATTTTTTCCCCAGACCACATAGGTAGTATAAATTAAAAACCCAGAACTGTCTTTCTTCAGGTCCAAATCTAATTAAAAAGAAAAAAAAAACAGAACTGGTGAGAGGTTTTTGTCTACACTTGTAAATTATTGGGAGGAGACTATTATATTTTTAGCAATTTTTACACTGGGATCTGCAGGTAGAAATATACTGTTTTTTTGTAGGTTTTCATCACTGCCAAAATTTTTCTAGTCCAAACTGTTACTGAGGAGATAGTTCTTCCAACAGTCTCAGATATATGTGACAACTTTAGTTTGCTTTTGCATTTTATGTAGACTCAAACAACGCCTAGTCTTCTATTTCTCGTCAGCATTAATCCCTGAGCTATATGTTCCTTGTATGGGCATTTTCACCCACAGCACCCACAGCTTCCATGTTATTTATTGCTCTACTTTCATCTGACCATTATTGTGACCTTTGAGGATTCGCCCACTCTGGGCTTCAATTCCCTTATTAATCAAATGAGGGAGTTGGATTAGGTGACCTGTAATCTCCATTTTAGCTCTATTGTTGATTTTCTATGAGAATCATACCAGCATATGAAATACATACCTGCATATGTTAAGACTGAGAAGATGCAGGTTGTGAGCACCATAATGTAAAGAACTTCACATAGAGCAAGAAACAAATATCAAGATAACAAAGAGCAACCAAAAAGAGCAAAAGAAAATGATGAGTTCCAGTGGTGATTATGTCATTTTGGAGATAAAGTTGAAAACCGGAGCCCGGCCATCTGGTGTAAGGATTCATCGAGGCAGGTAAAAGGATTTCTTCTCCTGATCAGTAACTAGATAAGGCATCTTGAGTAAGCAACAGGCACTGGCCTTCAATGGGGTCCCTCCATACAACATTAGCGACAGTCATTTGGGGACCTAAGTGAGACTAAATGCCAGAATAAGATCCAGGATCTGCTTTGGTAGAAAGGGTACGGGAACCAAGTAATACGGGCTCATCCTATGTCTGACACCAAGGTCACCTTCCAAGTGGAAAAGAACATTAGTTGGAAAGTCACAGTGGAGTTTGAGGGAAGACAAGACCACATTTCTTGAGCCTTGGGACACTCGCGAGGAGGTCAGCGGGTAGGACGGGGATGCAGAGTGGTTGCTTCCTTGGAGAGTGGGACCTCATCTGTCTACACAACTCACATTCCTCTCCTGAAATTCTCGACTCTTTCGGATAAATTTCTATTAAAGTGCACGTCAAGTCTTAGGCTTCTTGAAAGAAAACAGAAAAGAGATTCCTGTAGGAGGCTGAGATGGGTGCGAGTGGTCGATAAGCAAAGAAACAAACAAAATTAACCACCTCCTTCGGCTGCACTGGCTACACCTCCTGCACAGTACTCAAATCCCAGCGCAGAGACGGAACCGGCCCGTGCGGACTCTCCACCAATCAACGACGTAGGAAATGTTTCGGAGACACTAATTGGTTCGATTACCTGGCACGCTCCTGAACCGAAAGTTGTGGCTGGTTGCGGCGTTGCCTGGCGACGTGTTACTCAGTGGCGCTGTGCATCTGTAGAGGCCAGGTTGTCGCTAGGCAACGGGAAACATTAACCGCTACGGAGGACTTTCTACTCCCGACCAGGCGTTGCTCTCTCTGGAGAACCTCAGCAGCGATTGCTCTATTCTAACTTGGTGAGTCCTAGGAACCGAGCCTCGGCTTTGGGCTCTGATTTCTGGGCCAGAAACAAAGCCTGGCTTTCAGAGAACGTAAGGAAAGGCTCAAAGAGGCAGAAAAAGTCACTGCAAACGCATTTCAGTGATTGCCTCCTATCTGCCTATCATTTTAGAGGGGTGCAAAGGAAGCAGTAGCGATATCAAGAGGCTTGTCCAAGATCTCACTCTGAGTGGTCAAGTCTGGACCTGTGCTGTTAAACACAGTAATCATTAGACCTCACGTGGCTAGTCTGAACTGAAATGTGCTCATATATAAAAAACACACTGGATTTTGAAGGTGTTGGTACCAAAAGATAAAATATCACTCTAATTTTTATATTGTGTGTTCAAATGATTACATTTTGGATATGGTAAATAAAACACATTCTTAAAATTAATTTCACCTGTTTCTCTTTTAAAAATGCCATTACTTGAAAAATTTAAATTGCATACAATGCTCTCATATTTCTATTGGCCAGCCCTGATCTATATAAAACCTAGGTCTGCCAACACCTGATTCAAGACCTCTTGTGCTAACACTATTTTGAAAGGTGTTTCAAAGTATCTCCACCCATCTAACGGGGTGGAAGTGTGCGTAGTGGTGAAAGTGCAAGACCATTACAAAATGCTTATATTTCTAGTGTTTTAGGACCTTGCTACTCAGTGTATGAATCAGAACCTTCATTTTAACAAGCTCTGCAAGTTATTCTCCTGCACGTTAAAGCTCCAGAAGCACTGTGTCAGAAATTAGCTCTCAATTCTTTTCCCCCCCTTTGTTTTTTCTTGAATACCTATACTGTATTTTTCAGACTGTGTGTATTAGAATTAGCTGCATTTTGAACAAGTTCCCAGGAGATGAGAAACAGTGATCTCAATAGTAATTGCATTTCCTTTCGTCTTTCTAAATCTAGACCAGTGTGGTCCCCAGATCATCAGCAGCAGCAGCATGACCCAAGAAATTGTAAGAAATGCAAATTCCTGGGTTCCACCCCAGCTACAGGGGTTCTTGAAGCCCAGGCACAGTTTCTAATTTTTTATTCCTTTGGTTCGAATCCTCCGTTTGGGAAGACTGGGGTAACTTTGATGGGTTTTATTTGAGGACAGCAAGCAAATTCAACGCTTCCTAGTCCTTAAGTCCCTCTCCACTAGCCTCCTTCCCCAATCTTTTTGATCTACTTTTCATTTTTTTTTCTCACCCCATCCATTCCAGGAGTAAGGATGACTTTTCAGGCCACAGATAGTGAATTTGACCTGACAAATACTGAAGAGCATGCAAAAAATTCTGCACTTCCAAGACTGAATAACATAAAAGCCAAAAGAAGAGTGAGTTATGTGACATCCACAGAAAATGAATCTGATACACGGATCCTAACATTTAGGCACATTACAAAAGCTCAGGAGAAGACAAGAAAACGACAGCAGCCTATAAAACTAGAGCCTTTGGTAAGTTCAAAAACCATTGTTTTAGCCTCTATAGCCACAGAGGAAGTTCCAAAATTGCTTTGGAAGATGGAAGTCATTTCTAGACTCTGAATTGACAAAGAAGGAATGAAAGCTAAAAGATAAGAACTTTTTATGAAGTTGTAAATATGTAAGTATATTTCAACAAATATTTGGTTCTAGGTACTGTTTAAGTTTAAGGATTCAGTGGCAAAGTTTTTGGGCAGCTAAGTCCTCTCTGGGATTATGTACAGTACAGATACTTAACTATGTATGCTTTAAGATTCTTTTAGATATTAGGGTACCATTTAACACTGAGAAGTCTAATAAACATGTTATATTTAGACATATAGTTTTATTATTTTCAATATACATGCCTTTGTCTTTAAAAAATTGTGCGCATGTTGAAAATACTTAATTTTTAGAAACCACTTATGCCCTCGGATAATTATAAATGCATGTAAAGGAGCTGTGAAAGGGAAAAAAATTAAAAAGTGAAAGTTCTCCTCTCCACCCTTAGACATTAGCTACCATCATTAGTGTGTGCCCTTCAGACTGTTTTATGTTTATTCAAATATTTTTGCATATATATTTGTGTTTATAAACATAGACAGTTTTAAAGTAAGATTATACAATGCATACTGATCTTCAAGATGCTTATTTCACTTAATCATATAGAAATGTTTCTCATCCTTGCATGTAGAGGTGTCTTTTCTAACCGCTGCACTGTACTTTGTTGCATAGAGGTGCCATAATATAGTACTGATTAACTTGTCTCATATTGATGTGTGTTCAAGTAATTTCCTTTTTCTTTTTGTTTTGTTTATTTTGTTTTTATTTTTCTATTTCAGATAATGCTGTGTTGAATGGCATCTTTGTACATATCAAGGTGCATTCCTAGAAATGGTATCTTTAGGTTATATGTACATTTTTAATTTCAAAAAAACATTACCCGATTGCCCTCTAAAAATGTACCTTTTCACCTACAATGTATGAGAGGGCCTGTTTACCTACATCTTTGCCAAACCTGGTGCTATCCATTTTTTTAAATTTTTTTCTAGACTGATATGTTAAAAATGCCATCACATTGTTATAATTTACATCTTATTAATGAAGTTAGGTATATTTTCATTTATTCATCACCACATATATTTCTTATTTTGTGGATTACCTGTTCATAATCTTTGTCCACTTTAAAATTAAGTTGTCTTTATCTTACCTATTTTTAAGTTTTTAAAAATATATTATGGATGTTAATCCTTATTTTATTGCTTCTCAAACTTAAGTTTGAGTACTGATTTCTGTTGAAGGAAAGCTTTCTTAATCCATCATGCTAATTTTTTATTTTTTATTTAATGTTACTTTATGTGAAAAAAAATTACGCTAGGAATTAATTCTAATTGTTAATAAACAAATTGACACCTTAAATAGAAGGAAATACAAAACCAATACAAATGGAATCAACACAAAATGCAAAGTCGCTATTGTTGTTGGTTTAACACTGCACCTCCATTTGCACGGTGGATGTGGCCCTGACTGCTGCCCTCCTCTTCCCCAGGGTTCAGTGCCTGTGCCACCACATGTTGTGTGGGGTACCAAGTCCACCTTCCCATTTTTCTCCCATGGAATTAGTATGAAACTTTTTATATCTGTTTCTCTCTGATATATTTGCCTTCACTTACCAGGCTGGCCAAGATGGTGATACCTCATCTCTACTAAATACATAAAAATCAGCTGGGCATGGTGGCGGGTGCCTATAATCCCAGCCACTCAGGAGGCTGAGGCAGATAATTGTTTGAACCCAGGAGACAGAGATTGCAGTGAGCCGAGATTGTGCCACTGCACTCCAGCCTGGGTGACAGAGCAAGATCCTGTCTCTAAAAAAAGAAAATAAAAGAACACACGGAATGTGGTAGACACTAAGAAGAGACTACTTCAGATTGGGTGACTAGAAAGGTCTCTCTGAGGAGATGTTATCTGAACAAGTCCCAGCCAACAGCCTGTGTCAACTGCCAGACATCTGCAATTTAGGCAGAGCTTGCCTCCACTCCACTGGGCACCAGCCGATAGTCTTTTCTTTTTGTATTTAGTACTTTTCTTTTCAAGACCTCTTCTAAGACAGATCTAGTGGTAATGAAATCTCTCAACATTTGCTTATTTGTTTTCCTTATTCATTTCAGTAGGTTTCAGAGAAGGGTTTTCCAAATGTGCATTTATCTTAACATCATATTTATAGATCATTGTTTGGTCTCTGTGAAGTCACGCTGTGTAAACAGACAACTTTTCTTCTTGTTCTCAACTTGTGATTCTGATCTCTATTCCTTTTTAGCACTATTATATAACTTAGATCTCCCTCATCTCTGTAGCACCAGCTAGGCTTTTACCTTTCTTCAGTGAGTCACTCAAAAGGGATTTTCATCTCAAACCAAAGGCCATTTACCTGAAAAGTTAACTGCTTTTCTTTACTTAATCTCAAGCCTTTTTTTCTTATCCCAGTATATGAGAGACTAGCTATCATGATTAAACTCATAATGCCTGGTAACTAAAAGCCATTATAATGAATTATTCACTTTATTATGTTAAAAGCTGGGGCTTTTATTGCCATAATTTTCAGTTAGATAGCTTAAGATAATGCCACCTATTTTTTTTAGATCTTCAATAAGTTATGACTATGAGAAGCGATTGATGATTTTGGGGATCGATGATTTTGGTGGGAGGATTGTGCACTTCTTCCCACAGTAGAGTATTAATAAATGATGGGGGTTTGTAATGGACAATTAGGGAGTATATGATTTCATACTTCTGAGCCTTTTCTGTTGTAATTTATTCTTGTAAGTATTCATTGATAATTTGAAGTATAAAATTAATGGAATCTAGGTAGAAAAGCCTTGCTTAATCAATAGGCCAGGGACAGGCAATGGTGGTAGTTACTGTTAGGACTGTGGCTTTCATAGGAAATTAGTCCAAGGAGATCAATTTCCAGCGGGAAAAGGAGTCCAAAGGTAGTGAAAAATGAAACAAGTTTATATGAATGTTAAAAAGATTAACATGTTTCTCTCTTTCCCAAAGCCAGCGCTAAAAGTCTACCAAGATCATAAGCAGCCAAAATACGTACATGAACAAAATCGATTTCAGTTAATGACTTCCGGACTCATTAAACATCCAGTAGGCATAGCAAAAATCAGTTCTGTTACATCATCTACTCAGTTTCTTGAGCAGGAAGATGCTATGAAAAAAATACAGGTATAATATTAAAATACTTAATTGATTCTTTTAACTTAATTTTGTTTTGTATAGCATTGCTAACATGCTTTTAACTCATAAAAATGGTAGCAAAGTCATTTTCTATAAAGTTGCATAATGAGTTTGGGGAATATGACATTTTTAAATTCTTTCTATTTAAGGAAAACTCTTACAGTGGAGGAAAATCATAAAGGAGACTTTCAGCATCTGTACAGTGCCTTCTGACCTTCTTTTGCATGATAAAGAAGATATCGTAGTATTTTGAATGTTATAACCTTTTTGAAATTTTCATCATTTTTACCAAAATGGTAATCTTTGAAGACCCTGGTGAAGGGTAATAAAATGGAGACTAAGCCAGCTAGAAAGACAACTTGTATAGCTGGTGAGAGTTGCAGAGTGGGGACGGGTGGATCACCTGAGGTCAGGAGTTCAAGACCAGCCTGACCAACATGGTGAAACTGCATCTCTACTAAAAATACAAAAATTAGCTGGACATGGTGGCATATGCCTGTAATCCCAGATACTTGGGAGGCTGAGGCAGGAGAATCACTTGAACCCAGGAGGTGGAGGTTGCAGTGAGCCAAGATTGCTTCATTGCACTCCAGCCTGGACGGCATAATGAAACTCCATCTCAAAAAAAAGGAAAGAAAGAAAGAAAAAGAAGGAAGGAAGGAAGGAAAGAGAGAGAGAGAGAAAGAGAAATAAGAAAGAAAGAAAGAAAAAGAAAGAAAGAAAGAAAGAAAGAAAGAAAGAAAGAAAGAAAGAAAGAGAAAGAAAGAAAGAAAGAAAGAGAAAGAAGGAGAAGGAAGGAAGGAGAGAGAGAGAGAGAGGAGGGAGGGAAGGAAGGAAGGAAAGGAAGGAAGGAAGGAAGGAAAGAAGGAAGGAGGGAAAGAAATGGTAGCTTGGGGAAGAAATCACCAGAGCTTGCCTTTAAATGAGTATCTATAGATAATTAAAGAAAAAAACAGTAAGGAGAGAGAATATGAAGGGCATACCTACAGTAAAGATACCAATAGAGCCAAGATTTCTCTGAGCTTTTGGTTGAGAGGATCCTTTGACAGTAACACATTTAATTGCTGTTTTGGCTCCAAGCATTGGGTTAGAAGTGCTAGATGTGCACAATTGAGGACAAGGTCTATCCTCAAGGACTTCAGAGTCTAGAGGTATGTAGGTGGACAAGTGAACACTCAGCACAGTGGAGTATAGAGCTCTCCTTGGTTGTTTGAGGTACAAAATAATGAAAAACTAAATAAAAAGGACTGTTACACCTGGCCATTGGGGGGACCAGTCAGTGAATAAAAGCTACCCTTAGGAGTTACACTAAGTTGAGAAGAATGTGTGTAAAGTTAATGGGATAGATAAGGTGGGAGAGGTGGGAGCTTGAGGAGAAGACAGATGGACAGGAGCTTACTTTGGGTTTGGGTGAGATCATCCTGAAAGAAGGAAATCATATGAAAAATTATATGGAAATTACAAAACCTCACTTACTATGGTGTCAATGAAGTGGAGACAAAGGGAGCTCTTTCTCCAGAAAAGATCTGAGCCAGGAAACATTTGATTGCCTGTAAATTAATTTATTTGCTGTAAAGAGGGCTTCAAGAATTTGAATTTAAAGAAAAGGAAGGAAATTGTACAGACATCTGGATGAAAGTGGGACTGAAAAGGAATGTTAGGTTGTGAGCTATGATTTTTGGTTGTAGCTGTCACTCAGTGAAGAATTCAGTAAAGAGGAATTAAAGAGAAATATGGAAAAGGGGATTTTTACATAAAGTAAAGAAGATATTTATTCTGGAAAAAAGGTACCTTTTTCAGATATTGATTTATCAGTGTGAGTTTCAAATAGAAATGCAACAAGGAGGATTTCTGGGCGGTAAAGGAAGGCAGAAAGGAAGGAAGTTGGAGGCTTCTGTTAATTAAGATAGAAATTGACTTTCAAATTGTACTGGGCATCCATCAGAGAGGAATACTACAGACATTGTACATTTTATGAATAAATGCTTTCTTTAATTCCCACCCCCAAATATGAACCTATGTTAATGCTAAGGATGTGAATCACATTTTCCCACTGAGTTACATAATGAGAAATTAGTGCTGAGAGGAAAATATGTAACCCTGTTATGGAAGACGTCTTCCACTTAGAATGCAGTAGACTTTTTAAAGACTAGAACAAATAAAATAAATGCATTTTCTATTAAAACAGTAATACTTTAGTCTCATAAAAATACTAAAGTGGATTAGCCCTTGTTGCAACATTGAAGTAAGGTGATGTGCGTTTCCTCTGGTTCAGGTTTGGCCTATTCATTCACAGAAGAGAACAGTGCCATTGCTGCCATCCCTGGCCAAGAATTCAAAGACACATTTTATTTGCCTTTTAAGTTCAAAGATGTGTTTCCTTCAGCTCTGAACTTGTTAGGCTTCTCTCCAACTGCTATTCAATAGAGTATATTTAATCAGAGATGGGGTGTAATGTTCCCTATGAGTACAGGTTTTCTGGAGAAGTTGTTCCACAGAGCTTGTAGCAAAAAATCCCTGCAGAAATGGCAGCCTCTACCAGCTATGTTAATAGGAAATAAAATACTCATGCATATATTTACAGTAGTTATTCAACAAAGCAGGTCCACTATGGTGACTCTTATCTTAAAGCCAATTACTCCTACACTGTCAGAGACGCAAGGTGGTGACCTTTGGAGTTAGTGTCAAATTTCTTCAAACACAATGATTAACCTCCTCCATGAGAGGAACAGATGTGGATGATGCCACCCAAGTTTTCTGGGGGTGGGGGTGAGAGCACAGACTGTGAAGCGCAGCGAGTAGTGCAAGCTGGGGTGTGTGGACATGGCAGGGTGGTACTCAGCCTTGCTGCTCCAAGTGTAGTCCATGGTCAGCAGGATCCATATCCCTGAGGGCAGGTTAGAAAGGCAGAACCTCAGGCTCCACTCTAGCTGTACTGAATAAAAATCTGCATTTTAATAAGAACCCCAGGTAATTCACTGCACATTTAAAGTTTGAGAAGCACTGGTATAAGGAAAAGGCAATATTAGTTAATAAAATCAGTGCTTCTCTAAGGCCATTGTATAATTATTCCCAAAACTCAATATAACCACCCCTCATCTTCACAAAGAAGTAAAGTTATTATGAGTTATGATAACAGCTGTCCAAGACTTCACTCACTGAAGGGCATCAAGGTTGTTGGAACGGATGGGCAGGTTGAGAGGAGAGGCCCCAGAGAAGATAGATGCAGAGCAACCAAGCAAGGAGGGTGGAGTGCTCCCAAGAATGTCAAAGATCAGGTAATATTTTGATGTAATAAACATTGAGTTAAAGGAGAGGAGAAGGCAATAGGAGCTGACACTGGGACTGCTTTGTGGGAAAAGGATGGGTATCTGGAGAGGCAGTAATGAGGAGGAATATCGCTCCCTAACAATAGTTTGAAAATTTTCAGTGCCAAAATGCTTGCCTTTGAGGCCTAGACATCTCATGCAATATGGCAATTAGTCCTTGAGGGACATATTTTGTCACTCTTGAGTGTGTACAAAGACTCATTTTTTTTTTAATTGGCTTTGTTTATATTTATCAGCCCTCTCCTCCTAAACTGTCACGTACCAGTATTGGAAGAAGAGGTCTCTTCGGAACTAGATCTTCAGCTTACCCTAAGTACACTTTCCATGACCGAGAAGAAGTTATAAAAGCCAACATTCATGATCCCTTGCAAATCATTAAAATAATACGTGAAAATGAAGATCTTGGATTTCTTTATATGATCCCTGCAGTGTCAAGATCATCCATTGAATATGATACATATAATCTAAAGTGAGTTCTTTTTTATGACACAATTTCTTTAACATAAAAATTACAAATAAGATTGCACACATTATTCATAATTGATTGGATATTAATGATAAAAATCAAATATAATTTTGGTTATCATAGAATGATAAATTAATCCTAATCACAACAATTATGTATTTTTTTCATTTATCTTCCTTTTATCCATTTAGAAACACTAACTATCTTATCTGTACTATTGAGCTTCTCATATATTTATGTAATGTTATGCCATATATTTTTAATTAGTATTAAAAATATATTTTTGATACTTTATGATTACTGAGAAAAGAGGATGGCAATATATAAAAAGTAGGTGATGCATGATTTGTTTTTCATGTTATTTCATCTTTATAGAGTAGAAGTAAGGATTTTTTAATAAAATGATCTTGTTAACTTATGATATTCATATAGATGAATAAAATACACACACTTCCTCTGTGTTGTTGCCACACATTTGTTGTTGTTACAATTTGAAGTCACATAATTATGAGGCTGCAAGTTGCTTTAAAGTAAAAAGTTTTAATCAAAATTTAAAATGATGGATTTGTTGTAAATCTTAAAGAGCTTAACAGGAGTGAACAATAACTTGTAGGAAGAACAGAAATGCTTATGAAAGTGCAATCATTCAGCAAAATTTGTTGAGCATGATCTCTGTAGTAGGAACTGTTTTACGTGCTTGAGACACATTAGTAAACCATCCATATCAAAATGGTTGCACTCGTGGAACTGACATTTTAGCAGAGGATGACAATAATAAACCATACGTGAGTAAATTATGTAGAATACTAAAATGTGATAAATATTGGAGAAAATAAATAGAGGTAAAGAGGATTGGGAGTGCTGAGGAAGAAGCTGTGAATTAACTGGGGTGATTTGGGTGGGCCTCATTGAGAAGCTGGCATTTGAATGAGGACTTGAAAGAGAAGGAATGAGTTATGTGGTAGTGCAGTTATGAGCATTCCAGACAGCAGGAAATGAATACAAATGTCCTGAAGTGGAAGCAGACCTGGCATGCTCAAGGGACAAAGAGGAGGCTGGTGTGACTACAGTAGAGCGAACAAGAGATAAAGGATATATCGTCACAGGGCCAGTGGAGAACCATGGAAGGATTTGGGGCAGAAAAGTGTCATGATATGATTTACATTTTTTAAAGAAGCATTATGGCTGCTGTGTGAAGAATAGGCTTTGAGGGAACGGGTTGAAACAGGAAGACAAACTGAAGGCTGTAATTATTCAGGTAACAAAGGGACCAGGGGGTAATGATCAGTGGTAAGAAATATGTTTGCTTCTGAAAATAATTTAAAGGTGAAGCCAACAGGATGTTTTTACAAACATTATGTAGGGTAGATAACCAGAAAGGAGTACAGGATGAGTTTAATGATCCAGTTGTCTGAGCAAGAGGGGTAGAGTTGTGGTTGACTGTGAACCCCAAAATCTGAGACAGTTCTCAGTTAATTTAGAAAGTTTATTTTCCAAGGTTGAGGATGCACACAGCCTCAGGAGATCCTAATGACATGTGCCCAAGGTGGTAGGAGCACAGCTTGGCTTTATACATTTTAGGGAGACATGAGACATCAGTTAATATGCGTAAGATGTACATTGGTTCAGACTGGAAAGATGGAACAACTGAAGCCCAAGACGGAAAAACTCAAAGCAAGTAAGGGGCTTCCCGGTCATAAGTAGATAAGAGACATTCCTTTGAGTTTCTGATTAGCTTCTCCAAATGAGGCAATGAGATATGCATGTATCTCAGCACAGGGGTGACTTTGAATAGAATGGGATGTAGGTTTGCCCTAAGGAATTCCCAGCTTGACTTTTACCTTTAGTTTAGTGATTTTGGGGCCCCAAGATTTATTTTCCTTTTACAACTGAGGCACAGAAGATTGAATGGAGCAGAATCATCAGGGAAAAATACATGTTTGAGTTCAGATACATAAATTTAGGGATGTTAAAAGGAGAAGAGATGGTAGATGAAGAATTGGAGTATAAAAGAGGCTTTTTCCAACCTGAGACAATTCATTTTTTTTAAGATGGCAGACAACATATAATGTAATTTAAAACCCTTTGATGAAAAAAAAAAAACAAAACACCTTAATAGTATTATCATTCCTACCACTACCTACTCCCTTTTCTGGTTTTTATACGTCTTTGGTGAAGAAGTTGTAGATCTTAAGTGGGTTATTTGGTGATTTTAAAACATACTTCTTGATTCATACGTGAAAAATGTTTCATAGTTTTTTCTTCAGGAAAAAAATAATCATCTAATAACCCAGATATTAAGGAGTGCTATTTGTGATGTTCATTTTCCACTGTGAGAAGAGCCAAATTTTGCTCCATGTAGAACTGATTCTCATCTTTTTACCAGCACAAGATAAAGTATTGAAGAGGAGACTGAAAACTGTGCTTTTGTTCAGTTCTGGAGTTTTTTTCCTAGATTAATGAGCACTTCTACTAGGGAAATTGAGTTGATATTTTATACCTTTTTGTATTCTCAGAAGTGATGCTTAATAGTAATATGTAAGGTCTCAATTAGAAAGATATTTTGCAATCATGGTTTGTTATTATTATTGCATTTTAGGGTTTGATGTTAAACTTTCCTCACTAACTTTAACTCCAAATGTCATAGCCTTATGAGTAAAGACGATGATTTGGATGCTGTGGAGTTAGCAGCAGCTAAACTAGAAGTTAATCATAGTATATACTGTGTCAACAAGCTGAGGTCATGCTATACCAAACTCCTTTTAAAAGTAATGTGATAAAATAACTATAAGACTGAGTTTGCTGTTGAAGAATGTCTTCACTATCCAACAAATGTGGTGAAGCTGTGGAAGCATTTTTTATAATTTTTCAATCTAGAGCAATAATCTATCTCTCTAAGCCTGTTGAATTTTTCCAGAAAAAAATGTGAACAAAATGCAAAATACTGCTTCTCAGTATAGAACTGAATAAAGGAGAAATTGAGATTTAAACTATGGAAGCCATTTAAAATTGCATTTCTTGTAGCAAAAATCTTTTAAAAATGATATGTCATGCTATTGCTTAATCACCTATGGCAAGATATGCTTAGAGAGAAAATAGAGTAAGTTATAAGTTATTTGCAAAATTCCCTTATTAACTGACTCTGTGCATATCAGTATAAAGTGTGCTTACAGGTATTTTGCTTTAACCCCAAATGTGCAATGAAACATTTGAGAAAAATCTTCTCGACAATTTTTTTCCAATTATCACTACAAACCTGTGCTGTAGAAGAGTGTTTTCGGTTAGTTGTGAGCAGGGATTTAGACTGCAAAAGGCATGTAGGAATCAGTAGTGTCTGAGCGCTTAGCTGTGTGTGCAGCAAGAAGGGATTTGCCCTGCTCGGAGAGAATATTCACGTACAACAGTAAACCTCTCATTTTTGACTTAGCATTGACAGAGAGTGAAAATTGTGAATCTCATAAAATCAAAGATTTTATGTGCACTACCTGTGCACTTTTCCATGGTCATACATTGAAATAGCAAGTAAAAGATTTTATTTAGATCATGAAATATGCAGGAAATGAAGAGTAAGATTTAAAACATTTTGTGAAACTAATAATACTAGTAAAGACCATTTCTATGATTTTAGGGGACTTGCTCAAGGGTTATATCTTAGAGATATGTTTAATATTTTGAGTAGACAACCTATCACTTTGTTGCCAAAATATTTTGAAGATTAAAAATACAATATTGGAATTTTAGGCTGACTGAACTCTAGTGTATATGGCAAGGGTACCTTAAGACAGACTGGGCTCTTTCCAGCATCGTATGGTTTTACTAATTGGAGGAAAATAATTGATCATGTATTAGTGGGCATATCTATCCAAAAATCATATTTAAACTCAATAACCTGAGAAGATACTTTTCAATCCAAATGTGACCAAAGAGCTAATAAGAATTTGTTTACTTCCATTTTCTAAATTGACACACTCAGCCTTGCAGCTTTATAGCATCATGTACTCGTTGACTTACCATCTGATTCAGTGCTAAAAACAGACTCCACTGAAATGATCAAGAAATTTTGGCTCTATAGATTGTTTAGAGGCCCAGAACTATGTGATAGAAGCTCTAGTTATATGTTCTCATTTCCAAAGAATTTAAGTTGTTATTTAAGATCTTTTAATTAAAAAAAAAAATACAATGGGGACAAAGAGCTAGCTGGGTGTGAGCTCTCATCTGTGGCTCACACTACTCATCATTCAACTGACTAAAGAGAATCTTGTTACTAATTTTTTAAAATTATGGCTTATATTTATTATTTTAAAATTTGTGATGAGATGCTCACAAAATTTACATAAAATTGATACTCTGAGTGAGTATCAAATGCCCAGTCACTGGTTCCAGATGCTAAATGTTTGACATAGCTGTAAAGCAAAGCTTCCCAAAGAGTGTGCTGCAGCCAAGCAAGTGACTCCCAGTGTGCCCGTTGTTCATGGTGGTAAAAACTTATTTTTATTAAAAAAACACAATCACTCAGAAATTTACCATGGGTGAAATTTTATTTTTCTAATATTTGTATGGTTACCTTGTTAAACTTTCTGAATTCAGAAAATATTTCCATGGGTAGGACTGTGTAGCTCGGTCTGCCAGAGAGCAGCTCTGTAGTGGGAACACAACACAGCCTCTGCCACCTTCCTATTGAACCATCCAACTGAGTTTGATTGTTACTGTAGACACTTCCTTTCAGTTTCTAAGACAAACTCAGTTTATCAGCAAAACTGTTTTTGTGTATGTGAGAAACACAAAGAAATTCTTGCTTAGTTTTTATTATTATTTTTTATTTTACTTTAAGTTCTGGGGTACCTGTGCAGATCTTGCAGGATTGTTACATCAGTATACACATGCCGTGGTGGTTTGCTGCATCCATCGCCCTGTCATCTACATTAGATATTTCTCCTAATGTTATCCCTCCCCAATTTCCCCACCCCTTGCTATCCCTCCCCTAGCCCCTCAAACCCCAGCAG